AAAATTAATTCTTCAAACCTCAAAAGAGATGGGGTTAAGGCCGACATGTTGTCAATAGAGATGGTAACCCAACCTATGTGATTGGAGATCCCATGAAGTAGGTTCATATGGGTAATAACAAGTCAATATTGGCACTGATACACTAAAAGAGAGTGCTTGACTGCTACTAATTGAGAGGCTGAGTTATAACTCTTAATGAAATTCATAGTCCTTATGGATGGTGTATTTAAAAGCAGTATACATTTGATGAATTCACCTATATGAGAGTGGAGTGAGCCGCTCCTATGAGATTTTGGCCTAGTCTCTAAAGCTCTCATGAATAACCAGGCACGCGCATGGCCTATTGGGCGCAAAACCGCGTTGAACAGCAAAATTACCGGGGGTCAAAATGTGATTGATAAAATCTCTGACTTACAATAAGAATTATTGGTTCATAGAAATATTATATTTCACCAGTAATTCTGTGAGTTAAATTTTATTGGTCTAAGTTTGGTTCATAGTCCAGAAGACACCAAACCTATTACATTTGGACCATACAAATCCAGCAAGTTTATTTTTGAAAGTCTTTAAAATAGCGGGGGACTGTGGCAATATTTTAAAGCCTCTTTGGACAAGTGTTTTAGGCCTTCTAGAAGGCTAAGATTAGTGGAAAAAGAAGACTAAAAAGTGGCAAATGTTCAGCCACGTTTTTGCCATGCAAAAGCCAAGTTTCATGCAACTTCAACTATAAAAAGGCTCTCACTTGACAAGAAAAAATCATCAGCAAAAACAAGCATCATTCCTCTCCTTTCCTTTCACTCCTTCCTTCTTTTTTTTGTTGTCCAATATTATATATTGGTTGTTTCCTTTCTTATTTACTTTTCCTACTTGCTAGCTGGGTTTGTAATATTTAATTTTGCTGATTCCTGTATCCTCTATCTAATTAGAGATAGGCTTGTTTAATCCTGGGGAAACGTTTCACATTGCTGAAATAGTTTCTTAGGACAGTGCCCGGCACGACTCAAGCCAGTTGGTGTATTTTCGCTCACAAATAATATTATTGCAGTATTATTATTATTGTTGTTATTTTCGGTATCATTTCCCTGCATAAATAATAATATATTGTCTTGCCCTGCCCTGCCCTGCCCAGATTATTTGGACTCCTCTTCACAGTAGTATATAACACATAAACCTTTTCTTAAACGCACAACTTTGTAAAGATTAAACCTATACGACTCCTAACTGCCAACTTCATTATTTTACTATTAAGGAGTTGGACTCTAGTTGAATGAATCTGATACACACTTACTTTCAATTACTCTTGTGGTGTTTCTACATTCAAAGAGTGTTTAATTGTAGATGTATGGTCTGTTGTAATATTCAGGGAATGCTTTTTAATAAATATATATATATATATATATATATATATATATATATATATATATATATATATATATATATATATATATATAAAAGGGTTGGTGAAGTTGTGTATATATATATAAAAGGTTTGGTGAAGTTGACCAACTCTTTTACTTTTACAAGGGGCGCGTGTAAAGATCTGCTTCAGACAACTTTTCTCATTCAATACAGATACCAGCTTTGTCTTAACATAGCCTTCTTTTGCATTTACTTTTCTTATTCTCTGTTGTTCTCCGGTATTTAATCCTTTGGGAATCGCTTGTGCAGTTCAGCTTTCTTTAGAGAGTGTTAATTTTAATTAATCAAAGATTCGTCACAAGATATATATATAGAGAGAGATAACGATCGATATTACCTCACAAGATATATACCATAAGGTTATCATGGATTCAACCATAGTTAGTCAAGTGGGACGTTATGATGGTTTTCTATAAGGTCCCATACGTAGAACCTCTGATTAAAATTATATACAGCGGCTATACAGTACTAGCCTAACCTTAGATATATTTACTAGAAGAAGGCCACACGTACATATGTATCCCTAGGTTTATGACTCTCACCCCCATATCTAGTCCCAGTGGACTTATATGGTTGCTTACTGCCGATAATGTATCGAGCATAATGTATGGAAATTAATATAACCGGCTTATATATATAACGGTCGATATTATATGAATCACAACTATATAATTACGCATATGTTAGTATTGCACTACTACTAGTTAGTCAATGGACTATATGTTGCTATAAGGCGGCAGATACCGTATGAACCTTAATGAAATGAAAAATTTAAGACGACTATTATGGACAGCGACCGATAATTACTATGAATCAACAAACGATATAAGTTTAAGCAATAGATTATATGACTCACCATATTAGGTCAAGTGGACTTAATGATTTTCTAGTATCGGCCGAGTACGAATGACTCTAATGGAATGAAATTAATATAACCGGCTTATTATAGTCAGCGGTCTCGATATTACTATGAATCACAACGATATAATTAGCGATAGGTTATATGACTACAACCATATTAGTGCAATGGACTTATAATGGTAGCTATAGGTCGATACGGAATGAACCTATATATAGACGGCTATATATAAAACTGCTATGGACAACTACTCAATGCAACGTGCTATATCATTTTTGTATCTTTTTTTAGTTTTCCTCTCTTCAAAGATATGCATCTATTCTTTGAATATATCTAAAAAGTATTGTCCAATGTATTCTTCAATGTATTTTTGTATACTTAAATATTTATAGAAGAATTTTTTATGATTTTTTTTAGGCTTTCCCTGTTCAAGAAATATGCATTATCTGTTGAATATTCGTTAAATATATGTTACAAAGCAAGCTATTCTTTTTCAATGTATATTTTTATTTGTCTATATTGTAATAGGCTCCAAACTAGTTTTGTGAGGTTCAAGCAATTCATGTTTAGGTTAAGGGGGAAGGGTGGTGATATACTGCGTTTAATGAAGGCTTTCTTAACATTAAGTGTATGGTATAGAGTTTGTAATACCGTATAAAAAATAATATTATGGATAGGATACAGACTTTTGATCTTCCCATCGTATAAATTGTATTTTAAAAATAAATACGTAATAGTATAGGTATAGGCATATAACGGAAGGCTTATGATCTTCCTATCCGTATAAATTTTATTAAAAATAAAAGTAAATCAGGTAATAGTATAGGTATACATATGAATATGGTTGATCTTCCCATGAGTAGAATGATGATTTATGGGACCTAATATTTTGGTGATAATCATATGTTATTAACTAATGTTTTGAAGGAAATATTTGGAGGGGAAAAATGGCCATTAAGCCAAATGTGAAATGGAAGGGCTTTAGTGGGAGTGGTTCCACCAGTGTGGATCATTTTTGGGCCACACTTATGTTGGCCGAAAGCCAGGCTCTCATATATAATATATATATATACTAAGTATATATATATATATAATATAATACTAGTATATATA